CGAAGGGAGTACTCTTCACCATCTTGACACCTGCAATACAAATTTGAAGTTACCTGTTAGTAGGCAAGGGAAACGTGTGCCTATACCAAAGAGGGGAGTCTGGGGAGATCTCAGATTCATGTTTGAGTGATGATGTGAAATGCTTTTAAGTCATATGTACAACAAGAGTTGTCAACTTACTTCCACTTTGAATGTTGCAAATCCCTGATGTCAGAGGAAAACCTGCTAGTAGCAAGGTTTAGATTCTCCCTGCTGTCTTTGGCGTTGAAAACACAAAACACATTTGTGTTATCCTTGGAGTTGGGATTGGGCTTGTTGAGGACCTGGAAGGCCATTTTGAATGACCCTCCCCCATGGTCCCCTCCAAGCTTGACCCAGATCTCCTCCTTGGGAATTGTTGTATCATGCCAGGTTAGGCTGCTGTAAAGAGGAAATATGTATCATAAGATTTCATTGTCAAATGTTTGAATAATTCAACCATGGACATAAATACACAATTTGAAGATTGCAATGCCTCACCTTGCATTCCTGCTTCTTTCCAGGTTGTCTAGTATGGTGTCCTTCAGGGAAGAGACATAGGCGCAGGGCAGAAGCTCCACAGTGCCGTCATCTTTCGCCTTCACAGAAAAAGGTAACTTCTCTGCGTTTATTGTGATGTTGGAGAGGAGCTCAGCAGCCACAGCCCTGGATTTTTTCTCACTCTCCACACTCACTCCATATTGTTTTAGCCATCTGTAGCAAAACAACATAACATACTTAAACCAAGTTATATATATGAATGGCCTTCAGAATGGTTGCACAGAAAATCTTTGTGCTCAGACATAGATTTGTGTTGTTTATGTACCTTCTCAGTTTCCTGCACTGATTCCAGTTCATTCCAATTCCCACTTTAGCGGCGAGGAGGTGGCCTGTGGGAACCCTGACCTGGTCCAGCTTCAGCTCCTGCAGCATTTTCTGTAGTTCATCACGAGGAAGGAGGCGCAGCTCCTCCTTCATCAGTGCTGCAGAGTCCCCACCGCTGAGCTGGTCCCTTACCCCCTGCATCAGTTTTGCCCGTTTCCTGCTAGTGGATGGTGTTGACTCACTAGCAGTTTTCCGGGGCTTTGGAATGTGTACAAGATGCAGGGGCTAGACATTTGAAAAGAAATATATATATATGTTATATGTATATATATTATTTTGTGTATAAGTAAACTGCAATGAGATTGAAGCTCTCAGTCACACTGACCAACACATATTTCAATATTCAAATCATGTGAAAGTACAATGTGTATATGATCTAATACATTGGTAAAGATGTAGAAAAGAATTTGTTTCATACCTGTCCTCCAGTTTTGACTTGGACACTTCGTTTGTCATTACTCGCCTCCACTTTTCGGCGGTAAAATGCCGTAAAAATGTCTTCCTGCTCTGCTGTTAATGGACCTTCTTCATTAATGTCGATGGTAACTTTGCCGTAACCTGTGCCGGAGGGTGGGGCAGCTCCTGGCACGGTTTGGCTTGAAGAAGGTGAAGATGATGTGGAATGACTAGATGCAGATGATGTACATGTTAGGGGTGGGTACCTGTTCGGCTCATTCAGGTCCAGGTCCAGGTCCAGGTCCAGAGGATCAGGTCCAGGTCCGGACCTGTACCTGTACCTGATTCTGTACAGAGTACTTAGCATACGATATATGGTGTAGTTACTGTAGTAGTATCAGTACAAAACAAGTTTGATTGTCTGTAAAGTCTAGTATTTGAATACTGTATTCAATGCTAAATTGTAATGCATAAGTATCAACTTACTATTAGTCTATTAAGTAACCACTACAAAGATTTAGACAAGCGAGATGTAAACAGAACTGAACTCTTTATTATACAAAATACTCCTTAGAGACCTGATATGTTGTAAGTTGTTACAAAGAGAACAAATTGGTACAAGAGTCGTGAGTCGAGTCCACACATCATCTGGGGAAAGGGCTGCCAGACTACACACTTCATAGTTCATACTTTTTCACAGTCAGGTAGGAGATATAAACAGAACTGAACTCTTTATTATACAATGTACTACTTAAAGACCTGATATCTTGTTAGTAACTTGTTACAAAGAAAACAAGTTGGCACAAGAGCCAAGAGTCAACACATCATCTGGGGAAAGGACTTCCAGACTACACACTTCATACTTTTTCACAGTCAGTCAGTCAGGTAGGAGATATAAACAGAACTGAACTCTTTATTATACAATGTACTACTTAAAGACCTGATATCTTGTTAGTTAGAACACAATCCAAATCTAAAGGGGAAAATCCAATTTATTCCCCCTTTTTCGTCTTGAATTTTGAAATCTTAAGACAACAAAATTTTGAAGGTGAAGCTTTTCAAACTGTAATAACAAAAATTAAAGACATTACGAAGTTCAGAAAGACCATCATAGTGGCTTAGATTTCTGGGGTTAGCGAGGGAACTTCCCTCGTGTGGCCAGGTACAAGTTATATTTTCTGTTTTAGCCAGCCACAATAGGAGGGAAATTCCCTCCTATAACCGGTCACAACGGAATGTTTCTGTCTTAGCCGACCAAGAGGGAACTTCCCTCGGCCAGGCCGAGACGAACGGTGTTCATGCACGAAGTCCGTCACTAGCGGCGTCCCTTGCCAAGTCACACACGAGGGAAGTTCCCTCGCATGGTGTTCATCCACGAAGTCCGGAGTCCGTCACTAGCGGCGTCCCTTGCCAAGTCACACACGAGGGAAGTTCCGGCCGACACGAACGGGCTTCTTACGTGATGTCCGACACGAGGGAAGATCCCGCTACCAGGCCGACACGAACGGTGTTCTTGCGTTAAGTCCGCCACTAGCGGTGTTCCTTGCCAAGTCACACACGAGGGAAGTTCCCTCGACGTCGACCAGGCCGACACCAGCGGTGTTCCAGCGCGAAGTCTGTGCAGGCCGACTAAGGCCGACACGCGCGTACTGTCAAGTCCGCCTAGAGGGAACTTCCCTCGCCGAGTCCACCAGGAAGGGAACTTTGTCGCGATGTCAAACATGCCGACACAAGTGGTGTATGTGACGAT